TTTAAGCAAATGAGTTTAGGTAGAGCTCAAGATAACAGTGATTCGAGTAGTGACTCGAGTGATGAGGGTGATAAGAAGAAGAGCAAGGGTTGGGACAAGTCTGGTGGTAGACGGTGTTACACCTGTGGTAAGTCTGGACACTTCATTAGGGACTGTCTCAAGAAGAAAGGTAAGATGAGAGGTGAGACGAATATGGCTATATGGTCGAGTGATGATCCTAGTGAGCCTTATTGAGTGTAGACATAGTTACTGTTTTTGCATCTGTGTGTAATCTTTTCTGCATGTGTATGATTGCTCAATTCCATTGCATGATTATATGTTGCATTTCAATGTAGCTGATAGGTGCATTAACATGAATTGTAGTGATCTTATTACTTGGTGTAATTGTTTGCATGCATAGTGGGTTTGTGATGCATTAGCAGTGTGTGAGTATGTATTTTGGTAAGGTAGAGTATAGATGCCTAGGAGTACATTAGTGGTTTGTACAGGAGATGTGGAGTGTGACATTTGGATCACGAGTGGAGATGTGATCAAATGTTGGAATCCTTTATATGTGAAGAGACCCTAATCGTGTGGAGTGAGAAATATGCACTTCTATCACTTCTGTTAGGTAGAGACCCATTATCCACGTAGGTTGGGAGAAGTGTTGTGGTAATAGAGGATTATCCCGAGAATTTAGGATCTAATAGAGGCTTTCCAGTTAGACATGTGTTTTGAGTGATTAGTCTAGTGAGCTTGGTGGGCGATGAGGTGAGATATGTGTTCTCGAGGTGCTAGCAACACGTAATGGGATATGATAAGTGTGGTGAGATCTTTTCGTGAGGTCATTTATGCATTTGTTGCATAGGTGTTGACCATGTGTTTGATTAACTTGGTGTTAATATGTTGTTCTGTGTGAACATGTTTAAAAAGATCTGTGTTATCCTATATATGATATCTCCATCACATGTTTAGTTGCTTTTGATTGATTACTGTGATTATCTACTTCTACTTGGGTTTTCTTGATCTTAGCCCCAGTGAATATATAGAGCAGGTATGTTATGTGTTTCGGGTTCGAAACACGAGGTAAGATTTGTGATACCAATTTTATTGGTTACCTTGATTGTGCAAGTATAAATTGTGTGTTTTGGTTGCTTGCAGATTTATTGGAAATCAAGGTGGAGATTTGTTGTGTTTTGATACCCAATAAATCCGGGCGATGATGTTAAACTGGTTTATTGGATTATACTTCATAGGTTTCGGTCGATGAGTGAAGTGAAATGTCGACACCACAATCGAACAAACCATTTCTACAACTTATTCGGGCCAGTAACCTAATTATATTAGTGTTGCTCATGGCCCGATCCATTACCTTGGAAGGCTTTTCGGTGGTAGCCCTATTATTTCCTATTGGGCCTAACTATGTTCTAACCTAAAAGCCCACACTTGGTACCTATATATACTTTGTCCCATTACTGTAGTTGAGGTGTGTGAAATTGAGGGAAGCCGTTTCCATTGAGAAGAGAAAACCGATTCACTTGTTTGCTTTGTGCTTTGGCTTTGTACCTTTTGGTGATCCATTTTCTCCTTCCTTCTTTAGCCTTGGTGGCTAAACATTGAGGCTGCCTTCTTCTTCACACAGAACCCTTTGTGGGCAAACCCGTGAGCAACCAGTTGGGGCGTTGGTTTGGGATTGGTTTTGTTGACTGTGGTGGTTGATTGAAAAAAACTTAGCCCGAATCTTGTGTAGATTAAAATCAATATTACAACACCGAGGAAGGCAAACCTTTTGTTGTCATTGTTCTTCTTCTCCTCCTCATCCTCCTCCTCTTCTTCTTCGAATTTTCAGGACTGCATCCATTCTTTATGGGTTTTGATTTAACGTAGTTATAATACTCCAATGGTAGGCAAACTTGTACTGATGTGAACTTAAAACCCGTTGGATCTCGTCCTTTATTCTTGGGGGTTGATAATGTAAATGTATTATTTGCTTATACAATAGCAAATAACTTTATGCTATTACTTCATAAGCTTGAGCTTTTATGTTTGTTTATTCCTCGTTTTTCTTT